AACGCTCGCCACATTATAGACTGTGTAATGATAAGCACATCTGAAGGGGTACGCAGACACCTTCTACGACTCAAAACGCCTTGTGAAAGTAATACTGTCGCCCTCATTCTGCTGACATAATCAGTGATGTTCCTTCGTTCATGAACGCTCCCCGATCGCTGACAGAATGCACTCATCCCGTTAGGCCTTGAGCTTCACTCTTCATCCCCGCTAGCAGCCGCACAGTAGCTAAAGGACATTGCCACAAAGGCAGGGGAGACTAAAACGTTCATTTCTGCCTTAGTAGTTGTCATCAGCAATTAATACCCAATCCAAGGTTGTGTACCACCCGAGGCTCGAAGTCGCGACCTATTGAGTAGAAGCCCAACGCTCTACTTCATGGCTCGACGGTTAAAGCGTTGGACTCCCGATCGACAGGTAGTAGGCTCGAGCTTCGGATGGTGCAACAGCCTGGGTTGGGTAGGATTGGTTGATGGCGGTGAATGAATGAGAAAAGGCCAAAGGCAAAAAATAAAAGCTGCAAAAAACGAATAGTACCTGGACCTCAGACTCGCGATATTGCAGACATTCATCTAGGAAGACGCGCCATGTTTCTATATAGAAAGTGGTAAAAAAGAACAGACTGTGGGAGTGAAAACTTTTTAATGCGTACATGAGCAGGAAAATTTGACAAGCGAAACGTTTGCAAGTGTCATCTGGAGAAAAATAAACATTGTTTGCGAAACTACCGGAGAAAATATGCTGCATCTTTTATCGAGGCTGTCAATGTCCAGAAGTAAAAGACGCCATTGCTTGAATAAGAATTTCATTTGCCTGATGTTTCGGATTCTGTTGAGAATCCTCTATCATAGGTAACCGGCAAATAAAATTCTTGTTCCAGCAATCGCATCTTCTACTTCTGAACTGCTTCTTGGAACTCGCACATCCGCTTCTATCGGCTGTCAATGATGTTGGATAGAAAGTGCATGGAGCATGGTGGGAAACAAGCTGCATGCACAACGAGCTTCCTCAGTTAGTCGAGGGAGAGAGCTGTCCCGCTCATAGCCAGTCGCCTCGCGTTGCTCTCAGAGCATTAGAAAGGAATTATGCTTGATCTGGGAGCTGCAGCGGTGCTTACAGTTTAACAACGACCATCATCGGCTACAGCACGGTCATTTCTCCACCGAAACAGCATGCAACCGTCAGAGTTCGCACAACTGCAGCAAAGCTTTCATTCCACCTGTTTATAGCGCTGAAGATTATGGATATTTTTATAGTGAGAGCTTTTTCTGTGAAGTCGTTTTTGTGTGCTTATTAATTTAAAACTACTTCCCTACTTTCAGTAAGTCGGTTTTGTCCAAACAATATCTTGACTGTCTTAACCAATAGGAGGAGTTGCGCTAATACAGGGTGTCCCAAAAATGTATACACACTTTACATAATTGTAAACTTGATGGTTTTTATAATTTTGTTATTTCAAAAATGTAAAAACATTTACAAGTAACTTTTTATTGTTTTTTTTACTGCATGTTCTCGCAGTATGCAACATTGCCATTGGAAAAGCTATATCCCAAGATTAGTCCATGCTCTTGATGACGATGATCTAGACCGAAAGGTACAGTATGGCGAGTGGTATTTAGAACAATGTCTGGATCGAAATGGACGTCAGTTTGAGAACATGCACTGAAAACACAACAAAAGGATACTTGTAAATACTTTTACATTTTCGAAACAATGAAATTATAGCACACACCAAGTTTACAGCTATTTACAACGCGTATACATTTTTTGGGACACCCTGTAGTTTTCTTGGCCCATACGTTTCCCTTTCAGTCATTTTTGCCCTTTCTGTAACCTTCCCATTCACATTTTAGTTAAGTTAAACAATTACAAGCGGTTTCGATGTCTTTCCTATTGCGCCTCTGATTTGCTCCACCCTTTAATTCCCCCTTAACCACGAATTCTCTAAGAAAACTCGGGCGGGGGGACTTTTACCACTAGGCGGTGATAATAAGACGCCGAAAAAAGTCATCCTTGTTGGAGAAGCCTGTGAGCCGATTAAGGGAACTCCAGTGGACTCTCTAAACTTCGAACAACTAACAAAAGTGGTCGTACAAGAGCCAGAAAAGATTAACTTCGATTAATACAAGTTAGGTTTCTTTGGGGCTACTAGATCAACGACATGTTTTTATCGTTAGCACTTTCATAATCTGCCTAACACTATCTACCTAGATACTACTATTCAGGTGGAAAGGAATAATGGATGTGTTCGTATAGCGGAGTGATAACAGTATAACCCAAAAACGGTCTACGTCAAGGCCATGAACGCCAGATAAAGTCTAGGTCATATGGAAAACTTGTACATGCAGATTTTCGCACACTGAAAGAGAATACAGGAATTTATCTGATGCCAGAGTCAAGGTTGAATAGCATAAAGGGGAGCGACTTTACCAAGGATTTCGCCGTCATGGAAACTGAGATTTGATAAAGAGGCCTTCTCAATGAGGCGGCAACAGGCTCGCCGCATAAGTT